CACTGCGCAATCCAGAAGTGCTGGCACAGCCACGGTCCCAGCATTTGGGAGGCAGAGGTAAGTGGGTTAGAGGTTAAAGGTCATCTTTAGCTACTCAGTGAATTCAAGGCCAACTTGGGTTACATGAGACCATTTCAAAAAATATTCTCAAAAAGCATCAAATAGACATAGTTGTGGTACCAATAGCATGAGGCCATGGAAGTGTTGTTGCCCTCATAGGTCTAAACCTGATTCCCACATTTAAAATCTTTACAATCCCCAGGACTTGACCTTGTCTCTTTTCCCAGGTCCTGATTTGTCTGTACGGGTGTGCTGGGTATTAAAGCCAGTGCCTCATGCATAGCAGGCAACGGCTGTTTCTTTGTAAAATGTAAATTCCAAAACTCATATTTAAAGAGTTGACATCATAAATATAAAAGTAAGTTGAATGCCATATTTTAAGATAGAGCCTTCATTTCTAAAATGAAAAATTATAAAGCAATCGGCTTTGCCTCTTGTTCAATTTTAAAATTCTGTGGCATTACTAATATATGTACATATATGTGTATGCAGCTATATGTGTACATATTGGTTACATTGTATACATTGAAAAAGGAAGAAAAAGTCTTGCCCATATCCAAAATGAAAGTGAGTTCTCTTTGAGCATTTTTGACGCACAGGTGGTTGAATCTGAGGCTATGGAACCCACAGGGACAGGGCTGAGCATGTCTGTCACTCTTAACCGGTAAAAGAAACACTGTGAAATGAAAGCCATAAGCCATTAGGGTTTTTTTTGTTTGTTTTTTGTTTTCTCCCTTCGTTGTTCCCTGGAGTCAAATATTTAAGTGACATAGTCAAGGCAAACAGGAATAGATGAGAGAGCCTGGAATGAATTACCTCGTTCCGACTGTTCTGAACCCTGCTCACTATGAAGTTACCAGGTGGCAGAAGACCTCAGAGTGGAGCTGTTTGATGCCTGACACAAAATAGCTCCAAATAGTAGCTGGGCCTTTCCACTAACTTTTTCTGTGTGTCAGGAAAAAAAGCAAAGTCTTTAGTTTTTGGGGACGCGACGCCATACATGATGTTCCTTCCATCTTGCCACCTGTTGTTCTCTTTGCCCTGGTGCTCCTCATTCCATTTCAAATTCTGGAAATCTGTAACCACTTAACCTGCCTGTACTGCTCTTTTCTACATGCCTGGGGTAACACCATTATTTTGAGACCTTCCCTCCAAAGCTACTCCTTCTCCCACAGAGCTTCTCCATTTTCACTTCCTGCTGCTTCTAAAACCCCCATATTTTGCTTGTCTATCCCTCCACCCACACTATGAAGTGACAAAAGCAGCTTTTGTCTGTTGGCTGCCAAATCCTGACACATGGAGAAGCGTCTGCATAGTTGCTGTTGGTACTCAGCAGTGAAAAGTCAGGTGATTACAGCTGCTTATCAAATTGCCTCCAAAAGTAGTCACTTACAATAAAGAAGCATCCTTTTTATTGTTTGTCATAGTCTGGGGTCCTTACAGAGCTCAGCTGGCTGGTTAGGTTCCTGCTGTGGTTATAGTGAGAGGCTGGACTGCATCACTGAAGGTTTGTTCTTCTGCATGCCCAGTACCTAAGCCTACAACACTCAAAAGGATGAGAAAGCATGGCTGTCGGGTTCATGAGGTCTCTCCTGTGTGGAGGTTACAAGTTAGCAGGACTTCCATGATATCTGTGGCACTAAAGCAAATGTCCCAAGAGAGGACACCTGAGAAAACACTATCATTTTTTTAATGTGCTGGCCTTGAAAACATTATTCCACACCATAGCACTCAATTAGTCAAAGCAGTCACAAGGCTCATCTGTGTTCATGAATGCTAGCCAGGTGCTCTACCACCAACCCATATGCCTACCTCTTTAATAAGAGACAAAAAAAGTTATTGGAAAGGATGTGGAATACAAATATTGTAGTGAGTTTTGTAAAACTCAAATGGCTACACCCCAAAACAAGGAAATTATAAGGCCAAAAGTCGAAGTTTCAGCAGAGAAGAAATGTGTACTTGTGGATTATTAATATTTATTATTGATTTATCTTTTAATCAGCGGTTATTCCAAAACCAGCTGTATACCCAAATCACCACACAGACACTAAGATGTATTTAGTTAACCTAGAGCACAATGCTGGGCAATAGTTACTCCATCCTAAACCTCCAAGCCCTTATACTTTCCTACCATTCAAATTTTACCCATTATACTTGCTTTTAGCCATATCTTGGATCTGGTTCATCTCTGCTCATGGTTCCAAGATCTCTCCAGCCAATCTCTGCTCTCCTACTCCTCCCACTCACTTCCTTCTCCTCCCCTCTGGACCAGGAAGTCCCACTCTATTCTCTCCATTGCTCAACATTTTGGCTGGTTATTTTATTGACAATACAGAGAACAAATGGTGGCATGTTTACACAAACTTGAGACAGGTGATGCTTAGAATAAGCATCACAATGCAATGTCCAGATTGAAACCAGATAGTGGGGTAGAGAAATCAGTATTTGAATGAACAAAGGTAAATTGTATACATTCCAAAAGAACATTATACCAACATGTACGTAATCGTAAGCAAGAACAGCCAGTCAGGGGATGGAGAGATAGATGGCTCAGTGGTTAAAAGCACTGGCTGCTCTTCTAAAGGATCTTGGTTCATTTCCCAGCACCCACATGGCAACTTATAACTGTCTATCTATAACTCCAGGGGATCTGACACCCCCACACCAATGCACATTAAAACAAACAAACAAAACAGCCGGTCTTCACAAACAAGCCCAAGGAAACACTGTTATGCATGACAGAGACCAAATCATGTGTACCAGGGTTTGAGGACCAAAAAACTTAAGAAGCTGTAAGTATAGTAAAAGCAACTGACATTAAAGAGAGAGAGAGAGAGAGAGAGAAAAGGGGTTGGGGGTGCTGTCATCAAGTCTTAGAAATCTGAACTCTATTGGCTGGAAAGATGGTATGCTTGGCACCCAAGCCTGAGGATGAATTCCAACCCCCAGGACCAAATGAAAAGCCAGGGGCAGTGATGCTTAAACATAATCCCAACCCCGGGGAGGTGGAAACAGGAGGATCCCTAATGATCCTCAACCTGATGACCAACTGACAAGAGACACCTGATGTTGACACTGGAGAGAGATTGGAATTCTAGCTGAGGTAATTTACCATCTACCGTGCTACCTTTACTGGCAAGCTTGACCCATGCCTGGAGATTTCTGAAAGCAGTGACTGACTTGTTCCTTCAATATGGCCTTTCTTTTTCTTCCTGCAGTAGGTCTCTCAGCTCTAACACTGAAAGAGCCACATAAAGACTCTTCCTAATGTCAGTTATCATCCGATGCTTCTAAGTCTGGAAGATACCCACAAATAATAGCACAGTACTTAACATTTTTGTGTAATTTGCATAATGCTAGATTTGTCGGGCTTTTTGCCTACTGATTTCCTCTGGTTTTCCATTAGATAAGGTTGGTGTTGTAAATCTGTTGAAGAACTCAATCAAGCTTCATTGTAGAGCTCAAGAACCACTGAAACCTTTCTTCTTCCAAGTTAGCTTAGGAATCCTAAACTACTGTGATGTTTCCAAAGGAGTTGTCTTTGAAGCTCACCTACAGATGGAAGCCATCTTCTCTGAGTTGTTAACAGCCCCGAATTTTCTGTCTCCCCTCCTTCATTTTACAGTTATTTGGGAGTGGAGACATGCTATGACACAGGCTGAGGTTAGGGGACAACTTTTGCACTGTCACTTATCTCCTGTCATGTGGGTTCTGGGAATATAACTCAAGCCACTGGGCTTAGTGACAAGCACCGGTAACCACTGAGCCCTTAGTATCTTGTATCCTGGCTGGTTTTGTATCAACTTGACACAAGCTAGATTCATCCGAGTAAGAGCCTCAGTTCAGAAAGTGCCTCCAGGAGATCCAGCTCGACATCATTTTTTCAACAATGGGGGAGGGCCCAGCCGATTGTGGGTGGTTCCATCCCTGGACTGGTAGTCCTGGGTTCTATAAGCAGGCAGGCTGAACGAGCCATAGGAAGCAAGCCAGTAAGCAACATTCCTCCATGGCTTCTGCATCAACTCCAGCATCCAGGTTCTAGTCCTGATTTCCTTTGATGACGAACAGCAATGTGGAAGTGTAAGCCAAATAAACCCGTTCCTCACCAATTTCCTTTTTTTTGGGGGGGGGGGAGGGGGTCATGGTGTTTTGTGCAGCAACAGAAACTCTTGAGACATCTTGTGTGTGTATGGGAGCGTGCACACATCACGGTGCACCTGTGGAGGCCAAATGAAAAGTCCATCGAGTCAGATTTCTCTTTTCATATTTTCATGGGTTCTGGGAACTGAATTTAGGTTGCCTGACTTGAATGGTGTGATGGTCAGAATAAGCTTAGCCCCCCATAGATTCATGTGTTTGAATGCTTAGCCCATAGAGAGTGGCAACCATTAGGTGTGACCCTGTTGGAAAAGGTACTTTTTGGAGAAAATGTCACTTGCGGGGAGGGGAGCTTTGAGATCTCCTATGCTCAAGCTCTACCCATTGTAGAAGACACTCTCCTCCTTGCTTTTCGATCAAGATGTACAACTCCTGGATCCTTCAGCACCACGTCTACTTCCATGCTGCCAAGCTTTCCGTCATGATGATATAAACTAACCCTCTGAAACTGTAAGCCAGCCCCATAAGGTTGGCCTTTTATCAGTTATTTTGGTTATGGTGTCTCTTCACAGCAATGGAAACCCTAGCTAAGCCACATGGCAAGCATTTTCACCAGCTGAGCCACCTCACCTGCCCTCTCTGCAAAAATGTTGAGTAATGAATTAATGAAAAAGCTACAAACATAGGGGATGCCTGGATTTTCTAACCTAAATGTTTAATTTTCCAGCTTCAGTGAGTATTGGTGTAATGTAACGGCATAATTTCTGAGTATCTTTTTACATAGCTCTATTGTGTACTCCTGTCACTTTGTCAATCATAGTAATCATTTCCTTTATTTTTAGCCCTTGGACTGTCACAGGATGTTGCAGGTGCAACTTTCATGGCTGCAGGTAGCTCCGCCCCTGAACTAGTAACTGCCTTTTTAGGTAAATATTGTTCCTTTGACTTGCTGCTTATTCAGTGTTTTTATTTTCAAGTCAGCTTTAACTTAGCTATTACTATCTTGCTCCCAGGTGTATTTCTCACAAAGGGAGATATTGGTATCAGCACCATACTAGGATCTGCAATTTATAATCTCCTTGGCATCTGTGCCGCCTGTGGCCTGCTTGCCAACATGGTAAGAGAACCATTCAATAAGATATATTGTCTTGATAAGTTCTAAATCTGCCTGGGATGAACAACATGACACGACAAATTCTTTCAGACAAATTTAATAACCACTAGAAAAACATTTACTCAATTTATTTAACCCACAAATACAAATTTATAAAAGTCAGTACATGTATAGAAACAAGTTTCCTTTAAGATTGTTTCTCTATGTAACATGCAAAACGTATTATTTTATCACAAATATACAAGCGATTTCAGTATTACACTAAGTATTGTTCTTGAACGACTTACACTGTAATGCACACAGTAAATCAAACCACTGTTTTCCAGGTTTCAACACTCTCATGCTGGCCCCTGTTCCGAGACTGTGCAGTGTATGCAGTTAGTGTAGGAGCAGTTTTTGCCATAATATTTGACAACCGAGTTTACTGGTAAGCTTTAAATAATTCTCACTTACGTAAAACATAATTACAGGCAGAATTTTTGAAGTCTGATGGCTTAGTAGTGTTTCAAAAATGTTACTTCAACTCACTTCTCCAGGACCTGTCACTTGAGCAGCTACTCCAGTCTCAGCTGATGGCTTCACACAACTGCTGGTGGCTGCTTTTCTCTACTGTGCCATTTCCTTTCCATCAGTCTGCTTCCCTCTCCTAGTCACTGGAGACAGCCACTCTTCCTTTGTTCAGGACTTTCCCAGTTGCTGTTGTCACTTAAAGCTCCAACTGCTGGCGCTCTCTTCTATTAGGCTGTTGCTCACCTGGCCTTGGTTAGAAATGGTAATAGTCAAAAAAGCTTGGAGAGCAAGCAGGCGCACCTCCATTTCTGCAGTTTCTCCCATCCTCCCAGAAAAGAAGGAACTGCAGCCTTTTTTAGCAACCAAGATTATTTATATGTCACTATCCAAAAAAAAAAAAAAAAAAAAAAAGCTTGCTGCTTTCCCATAATCTCCCTGTACCTAGCATGCCCAAGAAAACAAAAAAAGAAGCTAACTTGGTGGACAGTCATAAACTTCCTAAATAGGCCCAAGCATCTCCGAGACCAGCGGTTCTCAACCTTCCTGAGGCTGTAACCCTTTAATACCGTGCCTCATGTTGTGGTGATCCCCACCATAAAACTATTTTCATTGCTCTTTCATAACTGTAGTTAGCTACTGTTAAGACTCGTTATGTACACATCTGATATGCAGATGATTTTGGACAACCCCTGTCACAAGAGCACTCAAGCCCCAGAAGGTCATGACCCACAGGTTGAGAAACACTGTCCTAGGTGTTTGTCATTATGCTGGGCACCATAAAAGAAATATAAAAACACATGGCCACACATGTACATGTGTCCAGAGAACCCCCAAACAGGGAAAAACAAGAGAAATGAAAAATTAGGCTGCTCATACAGCAAAGAACCCTGGGATTCAGCTGTTGCCTATAAGTGACAAGGACCATAAAAATATCCAAGTACCTAAACACATTCCCTCATTAGAAAAATCAGGAACTCATTTTTATTTTTTAGCTACAGCAGAGAAGTGATTCATTGGCTGTAAAATAAAATAACAATATTCACATGTGATAAAATTAGTAAAGTGGGAAACCAAAGCATAGGCATGCTGTATGCTAGAATTTCATTTTTTTAGAATACCTTTGATTTCTTATGAATATAAGCCAAATCAGCTAAACTAAATCATCAAAAGGGGGCCAGGCATAGCAGTGCAGCTCTAAAATCCCAAAACTGAAGTAGAAGAGATAGGATTGTGAATTTGAGTATTTGAGGCCAATCATAGGCCAATCATAGTATTCAAGACCAGTCTGGGCTATACACTGAGACCGTCTCATAAGCCAATACCCCACCTCCAACTTTCAAACTGCAAAGCTCCAGGCAATATCTAACTTATCCTGAATATTTCAAAAAGTCCATGCACCAGAAGATCTGACAGGCACTTATTCTCTCCCAATTATTAGATATTTGGAAAGATGTAGTATGTCAAAGAAATAACATTTAAAATGCCTATTATTAGTTTTACTTTGAAAACTTTCCAACTATTTTCAAGGCATTTTTATGCCTAGTATTTGAAAGGAATCTATAAAAATAGACAATGGATTTTATAATCCTTAAATAAAATGCCAGGTTTTTAATCAATGAGTTTGTAATAGTACTATAACCAGGACTAGGCCAACAAAAGTATTTAGGAATGGTTCCTTGACTTTTCTAATGCTGCTTTTGTTAGAAGATATTGCTTAAAAATTATTCTAGATAGTTAAACACCAACTTCCTCCACTTATAGGTATGAAAGCACACTGTTGCTGCTGATATACGGGCTGTATGTTTTGCTGTTGTGTTTTGACACTAAGATCAGCCGATGTATCATGAAGAAATGCAGTAGCTGCTGTCCCTGCCTTGCCAAAGCTATGGAGGAAAGAAGTGAACAACAGACACTGCTGGGGTGGGAAGATGAGAGCCAGCTCTTCATTCGTCGCCAATCAAGGACAGACAGTGGAATATTTCAGGAAGATTCTGGTTACTCCCAGCTTTCTCTAAGCTTACATGGTCTTGGTCAAGTTTCTGAAGGTAATGACTACATCCTACCCACTCTTCCATCTAACCCCTAAAGTTCTCATTCCAGTTAGTAATTAGCTCCTACTTAGGCAGTACACTATGGAGTCAGAGCTGAAGTGCAAGTTCTAGCCTTTAAGGAGCTCCCAATAAATACTTCACAATCAGCTAAGAGTGGGGGAGGGGGAGTCTACGCAGACGTGGAGGCCAGGTCTCCAGCTCATGTTCTTGAGGCCAGAGTCTTCCATGGAATCTGTAGCCCATTAATTAGTAGACATGCTGGCCAGTGAGCTCTAGAGATGTCTGTGTCTGCCTTTCATAGCACCAGAATTACACATTGCTGCCATGCCGTTTCACATGGCTGCTGGGAAATCTGAACTCAGACCCACACACCTGTGCACCAAGCACTTTACCTACTGAGCCATCTCCCCAGCCCCCAATTGGCTAAAATAAAAACATCAACGGTTACTACCATTACATTATGTTATATTAGGCAGACCGCATGGACTTCGATGACACTCAGATGGGAGATGCACAAAGGGAAAGGAGCACTTCAACTGGGCCTTGTGGAACTGGAAAGGCTGTACCTCAGTAATCTGACACTGCAGTCAGGAAGCAACAACTGACACCTTCATTGTTTAAGATGATGCAGATGGAAGCACCCTACGAGACTAAGGTCAGGGGACACCAGCAAAGGCCTGTACTCATGCGTGCATAGACGGAGCTAAGACAGCACATTCAAGTGAAGGAGCAGAGGAGTGGACAAGAAGGAAGTGCAGTAGTCTTGCAAGGAACTGTGAGGAGCTTGGAAGGTTTATGAGGAGAAAGTCATGGAGCTGCTTTAGGGACCTTGCCCTCACTCAGTGCTCACAGGATACTGAAAGAAGACACAGGACATGAACAAAGCAGAGACAGGGCAGTGGAGGTGAAAGTGAGCACGCTGTGAGACAATGTAGAAGCATCAGCAAACTGTGCCAGCAGGGGAACCATGCAGAGGCAGAGAGGGACCATAGATAACACTGGGGCTTGGGTCTTCATGGGCTGAGAAATAAAGGACAACTTTGTAACAACTCTTGAAGTAAATGGGATGGTTTGGAAGAACAGAATACAGAAAAAGGTGAGATTTGAACACGTAGGAAGGAGAAGCTAAACAGGAGGTTGGTATGTTCAATACAACGATGTCATTTCTAACCAGAAAACTTTATAAAATTGATTCAGTTTCAGCTAAGTGATTAAGAAGGAAGCTTCTAATTTACTACTTTAAAAAATTAAACATGACATTTTTACAAAACATACTTTTTAGTCTTTAAGGTAGAAGAGATTTTTAACAACCTCAAAAGAACAAGTCAAAATGATCATGTTAATTTATGGTGCATTGTTTATGAGTTATAATATTTGTGATTTGATCCAACCTTCGCGTAAGTGACATATACGTTAGTTTAGAGCCCAGTCCCACTTTTATCCAATCTACTCATCCCTGGCCCCACCGCACATACCCCAGAGTTATGACAAGGGCTCCTAGGTCCAATCTTCTCTAAATTCCTTCTAGCAACTGTGAACCTGAATTATTAAGTGATGAGACACAATGAATATGATAGAACATTCCCCAACCATGTATTAGTATACAACAAGGCATAATAAGCATCAACAAATTTTGGGAAAGGGCAGGGGAATGAAATAGCTGGGAGAAAAGAAAAGTTAATTCTAAAAGCACAAAGACCCTAGTGACACCAGACAGTCCTACTTCCTATTTTGTAAACACTGTCAACAGCACATTCAGTAGATAGTTCAAGCCCTTGGTGAAGGGATGTTGAACACCACAGCTTATATTGTCTGCCTAGTTTCAGTTAAGTTACTTTTGACCAGCAGGAACAGTAATGAAGTTAATTCAAATGTTCTAGACCAGCAGTCTTCAAAACTCCCTAAATGCTACAACTCTTTGATACAATTGTTCCTCAAGTTGTGGTGACCCCCAACCATAAAATCATTTTTGTTGCTACTTCATAACTATAATTTCACTGTTATGAATTATAATGTAAGTGTCTCTGTTCTCTGGTGGTGTTAGGTGATCCTGTGAAACAGCTGCTCATCCCTGTCGCAACCCACAGGTTGAGAACTGCTGTTCTAGACAAGTCTTTCAAAAATGTATACAGCTAATTTACTTCAATACAGCCTTCTAAATGGGCCTAACATAAACTGCTCATTTGAGAAAAATCAAAATTGTTTATTTTTTCCCACAACAGATCCACCAAGTGTTTTCAGCATGCCTGAAGCAGACTTAAAGAGAATTTTTTGGGTACTCTCTCTTCCTATTATTACATTACTTTTTCTGACAACACCAGACTGCAGAAGAAAGTTTTGGAAAAATTATTTTGTGATAACCTTTTTTATGTCTGCACTATGGATATCTGCATTCACATACATCCTGGTTTGGATGGTCACAATAACAGGTATGTAAACTAAGCATAATAGAACAAGAAAAGTATTTCATGTAAGAACAAGGTGCAAATATTCACTTGGAAACATACATCTTTTTCAGGAAAACTTAAAAACTAGTGCTGTTTACAAAGCATGAAAACTTAGTATTATGACCAACAAGCTTATTCAGGTTTTGCGAGTTATATACCAAAGGCAATTCCCGCTATTATACAGCCTGGGGTATAATTCATAAGCTATCTTTCTAATGACACAGGGTTCATGAGAGTTCTTCATAAAAATGAATTCTAATCCACAATTTAAAGCGGAGAAAGAAACTGACTCGGGTTTGGGGTCAGCAGTAGGTGCTTGCAGTTTAACCAGATGGTGGGGTTTTCTTTTGCTTTACGATGTGGCAACACAAATACAACGAAGATGACTAAATGGCAACCAAAGTTTTCTTTTTAGGTTTCTAAGTTTTATTGCTTAGTCATAATATACTCTAGTCCCCAATGAAATACTGATTATAAATCTAAATGAAAAGTTAGAAAATTCTCTCAAAAAGATTAACCTGAACTAACTTACACTAGAAATAAACAATCTTCCTCCATGTCTAAATTATCCAACCTGACTGTATCAATGAAGCTTCACTGACCACAGTTGGGCCCATTGTATACACTGTTCTCTTTATACTGGTGGGAGTAAAGAGTTACACTAGAAATCCAAAGACTATAATGTACACTTGAAACAATTACTACCTGGCTAGTTCTCCAAACTGGCTGCCCCCAACTTCTCCCAGATAACTAACTGTATTATAATTGTATGCTAACAAACAAACAAAAATAAAAGTTTTCCTTTTCATGAAAATGGTAAGAATGTCGAGGTAGCTTGCATATTCATTGTATCCAATTTTTTTCCCAGTCAGAGTATATGTGACCTTAGGAAAACAGGAAGAATCACATACAAGATCACAGATGAGTCAGCCCCTAAAATGACAAATGGCACTATCCTTACTCTAAACCATGCTTGCAACTACAACAATTAAGAAAGCAGTTACATGTCTCCACCCTTTTAAACTGCCGTCTGGTTTTATTTCCCAGAATGAACCTATATCTGCTATCCATTTGACACAAATATTAAGAAATTGGGGTCGTATGTCAGACTCAGGCAGGATAAAAAGTGCTGCCTACTACAGAGGCCTATGTACTTCCCTAAAGAAAAAGACAGTAAGGGAAGTAGGACTTTCAAGTTTCAATATAATAATGGATAAGGAGCTGTAAGGTGTTTGATTCTCAACTCTTAAGAAACTTCTAGAAAAGAGAAAGCAAGTAACAGCCCAAAAGAATCAACAGTAACACCTACAGCTTCCTCTGGATGGCAAATGAGGTCTTCTCATTGCAAGGAAGTTGGTTACTCGTTATCTTCAGACGTTGGTCATTAAAAATGTGTGCTGCCCTGGTTACCTAAAATATCAACATGTTCCAAATACTTTGCCATCTAAAGACCACATAAGCATATGTTCCAATATCTAACACACGTAAATATTTTTCTTGAATAGGAAAGAAGTATTCAACCTGTCTTTAGAAAATGGTTCATCTAAGGTTTGTGATTTGTAACCTATAGTCTCTGCCCATTACAGGGGAAACACTAGGAATTCCAGACACAGTAATGGGCCTTACTTTATTGGCAGCAGGTACAAGCATACCAGACACAGTCGCAAGTGTGTTAGTTGCAAGAAAAGGTAAGACTGGAGGTGTTCCAGATGCACTGGATATTCTTTAAGTTTGATTACAATAAAGCAAGTCAAAGTAAATGAAATACTACTTCCTCAGTAACATACTTAAAGGAAAAAGAAGGGGACTCAGGGAAGCATTTATTTTTTAATAGCAGGTTAATTCTACCAACCTAATCCCCCACAAACTGTTGACCTGAAATGTGCATTAGATGATAATTCACTGTCATATGAGAATAAAAAGCAACAAGTAAGCTGCAGACCTTATTAAAATGGTTTAATAAATAAAGATATTAAATAAATGTTAAGACTTTAAATACTAACTCAAGGAATTACAATAAGGCTCTTGCTCTAACAAAAACAGTTTTCTAAAACCAACCAACAAAAGTATCCAGTGTTTTTCTTATGAAGATTATTAGAATATAGATCGGTGTGCACATTTTAACAACATGCTGTTCTTCTGCAGGTAAAGGAGACATGGCTATATCTAACATCGTGGGATCCAATGTGTTTGATATGCTATGCCTAGGTCTTCCCTGGTTTATTAAAACTGCATTTACGAATGCATCTGCTCCTGTAGAAGTGAATAGCAAGGGACTCACGTACATAACCATTTCTCTCAGCATTTCAATTATCTTTCTGTTCTTAGCAGTTCATTTTAATAGCTGGAGACTAGACCGAAAATTGGGGACGGTATGCCTAGTGTTATACTTAGGACTTGTTACCTTATCAATTCTATATGAACTTGGAATTATTGGAAATAACAGAATAAGGGGCTGTGGATTTTGATATTTTTAATAGTGTTATGTGGAAAAGGTGGAAGTGGTAGAGGGGCAAAAAAGAAAAAAAAAAAAGCCATGTCTTCATTTAGATCAAATAAAAAACATCCTCAACTTTAGAATGTAACACTTAATTACTATCCTTTATAAGTAAAGTAATTTAAACCAAACCAAAATCACATCCTAATTTCTGTGAGCCCTTTCATTTCATTAACAATTACATACAAAGCAGATATTTTAAAAGAAAAAAAAAAGTATCTGTTAACTTACAACACGGTTGGGGAAACTAGAACAAACAAGCTCCACTACTAAAAACAACAAAATGGCTTATTTCATAAAAAATGGTGTGTCCATCCATTGAAACTGAATGACCAGACTTGCTGTCTTTAGAAACTCAAACTTGAGATAACGAAAATCACAGTATATTTTTCAACATTATACTGTTAAAAGCTGGTGGGAGTTTTGAAAGTTCATTTTTACAGCATCTGTAAGCATACAACATTACTAAAAAAATGACTTTTACTAGGAGATTCAATAAACAGATGAAGGAATGTTCCAACCATGCTTGAAATTATGCATTACGATCCAAGCGAACATCGATTTCCCTGCCACTGATTTTGATGCCATTCATTATTCTGCAGGCCTTTTCAGCTGACTCTGGGGATTCGAACCTAACTGTCCCACAGCCTTTTGACTTGCCATTCTCCATCTTTATTTCTGCAAACATTACATGACCTGTAAAAGGAGAGTTACACAATTACTAGTCCATTTAAATGGGTTCCATTTCACTAGACAAGTTTTGAACTCCTCATATCAGTGGAGATAGAGCACAGGTAATTTGGTTAAACATATTAATTATATAAGATGCATATATGTGAGCATTATCATTATATAGTCTGAGTACATTTCTATATAATGAATATGTATACATACATATTAAGTTAAATGAAACTGGAACTGGACACTGAGCTAGGTTTTTAAATCCCTAATTTCTGAAGTAGATGTTATAGCAATAAGGCTAGCTAGCATAAATGCCACCAATTCACCATGACCCCTAAACAGGATTAAACTCTTAATCAAAATAACACAGTTGTTCACTGTCCAATCTCCTGAACCTTTCTTCTATCTCCTTTATCTTTACTTCACTCTTTAATCCTTAAAAGAGCAACTGTCCATAAACCTAGTTTCTGCCAGATCATAAAAGAGCCCACCAATTCTGCTTTTAAGCTATTGTTGACAAAGCCATCTACTCAATTTGGCTTAGAAATCTTAAGGATGGCATCAAATATGTAAATGACTATAAAAAAAACAGCAGATTTAAAACAATAAAGATAAAAACAATGATATTAAAAGTTAATCTCAGAGTAGCTTCTGGAAAGGACAACAAAACCTAACAACTGTTTTTATGCAATTATCACTGTTAACTCTTTAGTAAATCTATAGTTACTGGGTGATCAGTAACACCGAAAAACAAAGTAGCCTTAAAATCCATCAGTTAAAAACAAAAAGAGGCTGAGAGTAAAGAGGAGTAATAATCACATGTAAACAAGACAGACTAGTAAGATTACAGCTCAGACTAGCCAACATGCACAATAGCCCAATCCAAATAGGCTGTAACTTAAGGGTACAAATACTTAGGTAATGCTTTCCCCACAGTAGATGCGCCTGTCATCGAATCATGCTAGACTGTGAATATTACAGTAGCTAGATTACTGTGTGCCAATTCTAGTCTGTCAACCAAAGCAGTCGGACACGTTTAGTTTTGCAAAGGGACAAAAAAGGAAGACAAAGAAAAGTAAAAGGTGGGGGGTCTGTCAAGAAAAGGAAATTAATACCACTCTTGATGAATAAGCAAGACTGTTTTCCTGTTAAGTGCTTGAGCTGAATGACCTCTTATCTATAACATCCTAGGCTACTTTTGTTTTCTCATATACTTTCTGTTGTATTTCTCAAAGCAAACTGATAATCAATCCTTCACCTTCTCAACACTAATGAAATACTCAAAAGGCAATGTCAGACTGCCTCAAAACCATGTAAAGTAAGCCAAGAAACTGTGTCCCTAAGAGTTGTAAAACAGACTAATCCCAGAAAAATTTCATGGTTAAAATAAACTAAAACAATATTTAGCTCACAACTAGTAAGATGAAAACACATGTTAAAAAACAATCATCTTATTTTCTCCTGGGAAGGTGGCGATCACAAGAGATAAATACTTTAAAAAAAAAAAAATCAGTGGTTGTCTTGTTCAGAGTTACTATTTTTATGAGGGGTTACTATTTTTATGACGAAACACGTGACCAAAAGCCAGTTGGGGAGGAAAAGGTTCATTCAATTTACTCTTCCAAACCATCATCAAAGGAAGCTAGGACTGGAACTCAAACAGGTCAGGGACTGGAGGCAAGAGCTGATGCAGTGCTATGAAAGAGTGCTGGCGTACTCCTCTTGGTTTGCTCAACCTGCATTTTTATAGAACCCAGGATCATCGGCTCCGGGATGCCACCATCCACAATGGACTGGACCCTCCCACATCAATCACTAATTAAGAAAATGCCCAACAGGCTTGCCTACAGCTCTATTTTATAAATGCATTTTTCAATTGAGGATCCCTCCTCTCAAGACAACTCTAGCTTGTCAACTTGACAGAAAATGAGCCAGGACAGTGGTAGACAGTGCAACTTCTAAAATCCCCCAGCATATTGGGAACTGGCACCCAGAAAGGAGCAACTCCATGAAGGCAGCATGCTTTGCTGCATGGAGAAACTTACAGTAATCTCCAAGGACTGTGGGAAATTTTACAGGCTTTGAAGCTGGAGGTTCTGCTCTTATTCTAGTTTTATCTAAAAGTTTAGGTTTTTCTAAGTTCCACAGCATAGGGTTATAAGCAACAATGGGGTTCACAAGAACAATCCTGAAAACATGTTATCTTTTGCCTAAACTATCTTTTCATCTTTCATACAAGATTCTCTTTCTAAATTCCTCCTAAAATATCCCTGTCGGTTTAGGGAATCATCACTCAGGCCTCCAGACTCCTAATCTCACCATGATCTCATCATATACTTGACGAGACCTGTGCCTAAGACACCACAGCCTTCTCAGTTTGGATAGTTACACTATAGACATAAGGTCACATACACCGGTTTTCATAGATAGACCCCAAGATAGCCAAGTAAAACGGATGCACAAAGAATCCTAAGTCACTGAATGGCCTGGTTATTCCCAGAACTTGGAGGTTGAGCCTAAGGCCTTGCACATAACAGGCAAGTGTTTTAATGCTGAGTGACATTACACTGTCAGCTTTTGGGTTTAGATTTTTTTTTTTAACTTTTTGGGAATCTCACTAATTTGCCCAGAGTACACCTTCCCACCTCAGCCATTCTGAGTGCTCAGACTACAGTCACTCACTACTACACTGAGGTACTACACATTTCCCAACCCTATGAAAACAGAAATTAAGGTATTTTCTTTCTAAAATAAATACTTTAGGAGGGAAAGTTTCAAATAGTTAAAATCAATCTGTGTAACGTTTTACATGCTGAAGATGTCATGAATTGGCCTACTGTCTTGCAGGATTTCAAGAAAATAAAAACAAGACTGACATTTTATCAATTGTCTAGGACTAAGCTCTGCCACAAGGAGGAGTATCACAAATTAGACACTGCTGTCACACGCAGCAGGCACGAGAACTACTTAACACACAAGAAAAGAAAGCTTTCCACTTTATTTAGTCCAGGATATTACTTTTGGAAATGGTATATATTTTGGGAAATGCTGGCATCGATCACAACTAAAAACAATCCAAATTAATAAATTTATAAATAAATAATAAAAAAAAATTCTGCCTAAATGAATATATGATATTACTATCTGAAGTTCAATCATGGTGCCTTTGGGGTTTACTAAAATTTAGAACTTGGAGACAAATTTTCTCAAATACGCCTCATCTTGTTATATTTAACAAGATTTGAAAATATCTTCCTGAATTATAAAGGCTGAGAAGACTGGGACTGCTCACCAAGGACAGCTCACCACATGGGTATGACTGCAAGGCACCTGCCAGTGAGTTACTCCCGGCAGACACTGTGTCTAGAGTGCCACTAGACTCTTTCTCCACAAGGAAGAACATTTACTTAGCTAGCTTGAGGAAAGCAAAGCTTCAAGAAACATTTACTTAGCTAGCTTCAGAAAAGCAGAGCATAGCAAATAAATCAAACAAACTAACAAGCCCTTATGGCTAAAGAGATCATTCCTTGCTTGTGTCAGGTTAAAAGAACACTAACAACAAAAAAATTCTTTTAAGATTCATAAATAACATGAAACGACAGAAAACAGTTCAGTTTAAACAGGTCAACTAATACTCTGACAATAATAAATATTTAATTCTGTATTACTGTAACTTATTTTCTTTGCCATCAATGTTATGCATAGTTTAAAAAATGGTATGATATGGAGTTATGTAAATATATTAAATATAAAATCGAATAATAGCTTTTATAACATATTTAAAGGTTAAAAAAAACCATTAACCTTTTAACTTCCAGTGTACTGGCTGGTTTTGTGTCAACTTGACACAAGCTAGAGTTATCAGAGAGGAAGGAACCTAAGTTGAGGAAATGCCTCCAGGAGATCCAGCTGTGGGCATTTTCCCAATTAGTGATTAGTGGGGAAGGGCCCAGCTCATGGTTGGTGGTGCCATCCCTGGGCTGGTGGTCCTGGAGTCTACAAGAAAGCAGGCTAAGCAAACCACGGGAAGCAAGCCAGGAAGCAGCATTCCTCCATGGCCTCTGCATCAGGTCTTGCTTCCAGGTTCCTGTCTGATTTGAGTTCCTGTTCTGACTTCCTTTGATGATGAACAGCATTGTGGAAGTGTAAGCCAAATAAACTCTTTTGCCCTCAATTTGCTTTTTTAGTCATGGTGTGATGTTGCCACAATAGAAACCCTAGCTAAGATATCTTGTGTATGTATGTATGCACAGACACATAACGATGCAGCTGTAGAGGCCAAATGACAAA